TATATATATACATACATGTACAGGTATACAGGGTTAGGTATATATAGGTTTGATTTAGACTAATTTAACTAGCTGCAGATGGACCGGCAGGGGCTACTGTTTTTCAGGCCCACTCTCTATGGCTGGTACGTCCTCCACCTTGTCGGTCAGCTTGTCCGTGCCGGTTTCGGGCAGTGTAAGCGTCAGCAGACCAGCTACTAGAACGCAGCAGCCGCATATGGTTGTCGGAATGTACCAGCCAAGGGCGCCCAGGACATCGACCACATACGGTGCTGATATGGAGCCAACATGCGCCCACGTCGAGCAGGTGCCCAGCGCCGAATTGCGTATCTCGGTGGGATACAGCTCAGCGGTGTAGAGCGTCACCACCGAGTAGGTGGCGCTGATGCCAAACCGACCCAGCATTGCAAACGATACGATCCACGTGGTGCTGCCAGAGGGCACGGACAGCACCAGCAGCAGCGAGACGCCCGTCAACATGAAGAGGAACATGGTGGTGATGCGACGACCCGTGTAGCGCAGCATTATCACAGGCACCACGTACGACGGTATATCCACGACACCTGTGGCCACAATGTACAGGTAGCGACTGACCGAGAAATTGGCGGCATTCAGAGCTACGAGAGTTTGAATGTTATTTTGATTGTACCAAGTACATATTTATAGCTGATCTTGCAATCTTACCCGTTACATAGTAACTCAGTGAGGTGACACAGAACATGAAGTACGACGTGAATATATATCGGCGTACCTTCGGATTGGCGAAGAGCTCAATAATTGACTTGAGTGGGCCATTCTTTAGCTTCTCTACAAGTGAAGCATTCGTGGCAGACTCCAACTAAATGAAAAGAAATTGCAAATGTTATAATAATCAAGTAAACTTATGCTTAACGCCAAGCAGTGACTTTCAAACTGTAATTTCTGAATGAATGAGCTAGATTTAAAATCACATCATTCGAGAATAATTTTCTTAGATTATCACTATACGACTGTGGCTTTAAGACTGTTTCTGAACTGGATTCCATTTACTTAAGAGCAATCTAAGCAGCTCACACAGACTCAAGTCGTACAGGCCAGTGACCTTTCAACTGTGTTTTGTGTTGAGACCGATTTTAAACTAATCTCAACCAGTTCTCTTCTACTTCTTAGTGACACTTAGACTGTAAGTCGAATGCAATGGCTTTTAAACTGTGATTCTTATGGAGTACTGACGAGATTTCATTTACTGAAACGAATCTTTAGCACGATCATGATCATCTGTTGCTTCACGTGCTACTGATTAGACAAAGCTAAAAATAAATCACCGATTATGGACGTGCGGTGACTCTCAGACTGTGATCTTTTGTCAAATTAATCTTAACAAAACTGACGCCTCTACCAATCTCGATCGTCTCCAGTTGCTGTCACACGCAGACCATCAAATGCAGCCTATTATGCGGTCTATGTTGTATTTAAAGTGGAATTTGTCGCCTGACAACCAACTAATATATAATATATTTATTGAGGATGAGTGGGAAAGATCTTAGTACACACCGTCTTCTTATCGCTGCACGTCTCGGTGGCTGTCGCAATCGTGGGCTGAATATCATAATGGCTGGGCTGACCGAAAAGAATTTGGTAGACACGATTGTAGCGCTGCTTTGTTATAAGCCAACGCGGCGATTCATTCATCAAACTAAGGAAAGCAGGAATACACATTATATATAAATTAAAGATATATTAATATCCAAGGTCAACCCACTAGCAATTAAGGATCAGCAGCAGTGAGGGCATGGTCAAGGCCAGTTGCAGATAGCGCCAGGGCTGGATCAGATAGCCTACGATGGCCAGCAGGATCATGCCCACAGGATACGAGGCAGAGAACGCAATGGACATCCAGGTACGATGCTTCAGGCAAATATTCTCCACAACTAGAGGAAGAATGATGATAATCATCAATTATAATCATATATAAAAGATATCTTATACGTACTCATTGTAAATGCAGGATAGAATAGGCCTGACGAGGCTGAGCCCAGGGCAAAGCGACCAATCAGAAAGACGCTGTACCATGGCGTGAAGGTGCAGAAGATGCTGCCGACAATGAAGAAGGCGGCGCCCAAAGTAAACGAGGTCTTCCGACCAAATCTAGAAAGTAGATAATACATGTAACGATTGAAACTATTTTCGATTAGAGTCGACTTACTTGTCAGCCAATATGCCAAAGCTGAAGGAGCCGCAGAACTTGCCCAGCGACAGGGCCACCTGTGCGGAGGTGCGCTGAATGCTTCGCTCACAGGTGAGCTCCCAGTCGGCCACGAATGTTGTCTCCGGCTCGGCATACTCGTAGCTGCCCTTGGTCTTGCAGGACACCACGCTCGGCTTATTGATCTGAGCCATGCGCCGCGTGTAGTTGAGTGCCGATGAGTAGGACATTCGACTCAGGTGCTCGTAGTCCCAATCCCAGATGGTACAGCCGCCAGACTCCAGTTCATATTCGCTAATGCTGCGCTTCTCCGCCAGAGTCCAGTTGGTGTGCTGCAGTGCATCAATGCCGCACCACTGGTCATCGGGCAAATGGCCGAGCAGCGTATAGGACGACACATGGAATCCGTTCAAAATGTTTGGCGTGACGCACAGAAAGAAGATAGCCCTATGAAAAGAAACGCAAATAGTTAGAACGAAGTGCAAATTGTCCATTTAAACACACGAATCGGTGAAATTGTTTTGATAAAGTTTCACCTGGCGCTAATTAATACGATTTAGATATTTAACAGATGTATATTTATCTATAGCTCGTATTGTGACACGCAAATTTAATCTTTCGCACATTCACACAAATTTCTGATTTTTAAACACCCCGCGCTCGTCTTTTCTATAATAAAGTTGATCTAGCTGGGAATGACCGACTAGGAAACACGCTATACTTTTAAGTCGAGCTACTCTATAACTCTATATATATATTCGTAGCAATTGAACTATGAAGATTTCTAACAAGATATCAGAGTTCATGAAAACATGGGCTATACCTTTGTATAGCCTTGATCTTTATCAAGTCTAATATTCTTACCAGCTTGATTTTAATATTAATTATCCAACTTTTTTTTTTTTTTTTGGTAAATTCGATATATCTATAGTTAATCACGTCTATAGAATTTGAGCATGCCAAAAAGAGACTCAGAAAATAATATCCGAATTCAGAGAGTGTACAGATATATGTATATATTATAA